AAAATGCCCCACATCACTAATTATTAGGAAAATGCAAATTAAAACCAAAGTGTACTACCTACTACCTTACCCCAGCCAGAATGGCTATTATTAAAAAGTAAAAAAATAGTAGATATTGGCATGGATGTGGTGAATACAGAACACTTATACACTTCTGGTGGGAATGTAAATTAGTACAACCTCGGAGGAAAACAGTATGGAGATTTTTTAAAGAACTAAAAGTAGATCTACAATTCAACTCAGCAGTCCCTCTGCTGGCTATCTACCCAAAGGAAAAGAAGTTATTATATCAAAATCATGCCTCCATGCATATGTTTATTGCAGCACAATTCACAATTGCAAAGATACAGAGCCAGTCTGAGTTCTTATCAATCAATGAGTGGATAAAGAAAATGTGATATATATACATATCATGGAATCCTACTCAGCCATAAAAAGGAATGATGTAATGTTTTTTGCAACAACTTGGATGAAGCTGGAGGCCATTATTTTAATTGAAATAACACAGGAATGGAAAATCAAATGTTGTATGTTCTCACAAGCGGGAGCTAAAGTATGGGTATGCAAACACATACAGAATGGCATAATGCACTTTGGAGACTCTGAAGTGGGGAGGGCGGGAGGGAAGTGAAGATTAAAAACTACATATTGGACCGAGTGAGGTGGCTTACGCCTGTAATCCCAGCACTTTGGGAGGCCTAGACAGGCGGATCACGAGGTCAGAAGTTCAAGACTAGACTGGCCAACATGGTGACACCCCGTCTCTACTAAAAACTACAAAAATTAGCAGGGCATGGTGGCTTGTGCCTGTAATTCCAGCTACTTGTGAGGCTGAGGTAGGAGAATTGCTTGAACTGGGACCTGGGAGGTGGAGGTTAGAGTGAGCGGAAACTGAGATCACGCCACTGCACTCCAGCCTGGGCTACACAATGAGACTGTATCTCAAAAAAAAAACCCAAAAAACAAAAAAAACCCACTATATATTGGGTGCAGTGTATACAACTTAGGTAATGGGTGCACTAAAATCTCATAATTTGCCACTGTATAATTAATCCATGTAACCAAAAACCACTTGTACCCCAACAGCAATTGAAATAAGTATATATACATATAAAATAAAGAAGAATTCACTTCATGCCATTTTTAACTTTGAATTTTTCACCTATGGGAATATCTTACCTGTTTAAAAATTAAAGGGCCAGGCGTGGTGGCTCATCCCTGTAATCCCAGTACTTTGGGAGGCCGAAGAGGGTGGATCACTTGAAGTCAAAAGTTCAAGACCAACCCAGCCAACATGGTGAAACCCCATCTCTTAAGAAAAAAAATAAAGAAATGAGCTGGGCATAGTGGCAGCGTGCACCTGTAATCACAGCTACCTGGGAGGCTCAGGCAGGAGAGTCACTTGAACCTGGGAAGTAGAAGTTGCAGTGGGCCGAAATCATGCCATTGCACCCCATCCTGGGTGACAGAACAAGACTCCATCTTAAAAAAAGAAAAAGAAAAAAAAATTAAGGAAAGAAATGAAAATTAAGAACCAGTAAACAAACAAACAAAAAAAAAAACAAAAAAAATGGCGGCAGGTCTTCATCCTGTAATGACCATGGTAAAATATCCTGAATAGAAGTTCCTGAAGAAATTGGTGGCAGACAAGAGATACTAAGCACCTGAACTAAGGCAGTGTATCTTTAATCTCTTTTTAATCCAAAGGGTCATCTATTTTTCTTTTTTCTTGATTCTTTTCTTTTCTGATAGCACTTTGAATTTGTTCTCTTGAGTATCCCACAGACTGGATTTTGCTAGTTGTATACCTGTGGTGTACTTCATAAATGTTCCCATGTCCTCTTTATTTTCTGTAAATTGGTAGGGATTGAGGTGCTTTCAGATTTAGATTAATTTTTCCCTTTCAAGACTATCTCATAGGTGGTATGTTTTTCCATCAGGGACAGATAATGTCAGGTTGCCTCATTTTTGTGAGTCTTCTAGTACTTATGGTTTCATTTTTAAAATTTTAGTCTTTGTTACACTTGGAGTCTATTCTGGTGTCTGGTGTGCGTGTGGTTCCAACTTTTTCTTTTCCAGTTGGCTGTCCAGCTGTCCCAGAAACATTTATTGAATGGTCTGCCTTTCTCCACTGACTTAAGATGCCATTTTTATCATATATTAAATTCTCAAGTGTATTTGGTCTGCCATCTGTTCTATTCCATTGATTTATCTGTCTATTCATGCAACAGTTTCACACTGTTTTGTTGTTATTATTATTATTATTTTTTAATTTATTCGTTTAAGATGGAGCCTTGCTCTGTCACCCAGGCTGGAGTGTAGTGGTGCGATCTCGGCTCACTGCAACTTCCACTTTCCGGGTTCAAGCTATTCTCCTGCCTCAGCTTCCTGAGTAGCTGAGACTACAAGCATGTGCCACCATGCCCAGCTAATTTTTTGTATTTTTATTAGAGACAGCGTTTCACCATATTGGCCAGGATGGTCTTGAACTCCTGACCTCGTGATCTGCTTGCCTCGACCTCCCAAAGTGCCAAGATTACAGGCATGAGCCACTATGCCCTGCCTATTTTTATTTTTTTAGACAGGGTCTCATTCTTTGTCCAGGCTGAAGTATAGTGACACAGTCTCAGCTCACTGAATCCTTGAACTTATGGGCTCAAGTGATTCTACCACCTCAGCCTTACAAGTAGCTGGGACTACAGGCACCTGCCACTGGGCCTGGTTAATTTTTTAATTTTTGTGGAGACAGGGTCTTGCTATGTTGCCCAAGCTGGTCTTGAATTCCTGGCCTCAAGCAATCCTCCCTCCTTGGCTTCCCAGTGTTGGGATTACAGGTGTGAACCACCACGCCTGGCCTGGTTTTAATTATTAAGGTCTAATAAAACGTTTTAATATTTGGCAGAGCTAGTTTCTTTTTATTACTCTTTTTTTTCCCCAGAGCTTTCCTCACTATTTTTTTTTTATTGGAATTGCATTTGACTTCCAGGTTAAGAAGAAATGACATCTTTATGATGTCAGTTTTTCCTATTTGAGACCACAATGTGCTTTTCCATTTGGTCACTTGTCTGTCCTTTAAAAATGACTTGAAATTTTGTTCATATATCTTCCCTCTCTCCCTCTCCTTCATGCCTCTGTCTCTCTCTTTCTCTCTCTCTGTCTCTGTCTCTCTCTGTCTCACTGTCTCTCTCTCTTTTGTTCTCTCTGTGTCTCTCCTAATCCCCAAGGTGATGATATTAGAAGGTGGGGACTTTGGAAGGTGGCTCTGCCTTCATGAATGGGATTCATGCCCTTTTTGCCTTGAGTCCCTTTTGTCCTTCCATCTCTTCCATCTTGTGAGGACACCACATTTGTTCCTTTTTTGCCCTTCTGCCATATGAGAAGGCAGTAAGAAGGCGTCATCTGTGAGGAACAGGGCCCTCACCAGACACTGAATATTCTGGCACCTTGATCTTGGACTTCCCAGCCTCTAGGACTGTAAGAAATAAATGTTTATTGTTTATAAATTGCACAGTCTAAGGTATTTTGTTTTAGATATCTTAGAATGGACTAAGATACATGTGAATGAATGGAAGAGGGCCTCTACTATGCTATGTATGGATTGCCAGTTGAGGAATAACTAAAACACAATAAGAAATCCACAATTGAACTGTATGAACATTAAACCGGATGCTTCATAGCTGATACAAATGCCACCTCATGATCATCATTGTTGTCATGTATGGTACCTTCTGAATAAAGGGAAGCTTGCCTTTTTGCAAACTCAGCCAGGGGTAAGGTGTATACCAGAATGCGGGAGCTCATTTCCATCTTAATTGCTTCCACTGCTACCCCTGCACGACTCTGTGATTTACCTCTGGATGTCTTATTGCAGCTCTCCAGTACTCAGTGCCTTTATAATGATGGAGAAAGAACTAACAGGGTAAACTCTGAGTGATATTACTGCTTAGAAATTAAAAATATTGCTTGGAAAACAAAAAGCAGGTCTTTATGTTTGCCCCTGCACTGTGGATTTACCGCTTATTTCCTTGTGTCTTTTATCATCCCATTAAAGCATGAAAATAGTTCACATCTCTCCCCATCTGTTCACCACATTAATTGCCCTGGGCAGGAAGAACTTTCTTCAATATAGATATTCTTCCTCTTTGTGGTTTTGAGTCCATTACATACCCCAGCTGCTTTCCTGTTTGACATTTTAATCTTCTTATTGGTATTGCGGTATGTCCTTGGTGCCAGCTAAGCAGGTTAGGTATGGTGACTGAAGTGACCCCTAGCTCCTTTGATAAAAAGCATGCAGGCCTTTTTCTGCATATATTGAACCTTGGGTGGTGATTTGGCCTTTTCAAGTTGAAAAGCAGATATGTATCAATTGTTCTATTAAACAGCGTGTACTAAGCACTGCTGTCTGTCTGTGGTGGCCCAGGTGCGGCACACAGACACAGCATTGTTCCTACTCAAAAAGTAGTGGTGTGTTAGAAAAGATGAAATTGATTCAGAAGTTCTAGTTCTGCAGCTAACTTGCCTTATACCCTTGCTTTAGCTGCTTTTTCTAGAAAATGAAGGAACTGAAAGTGAACAGTGGTTTTTGAGCAGTGTTTCTGAAAGATTCTTGGCACGTAGGACCTGTCACAGAGGGCTAAGCTTAGGCTCCAAGGTCTTCAAAGTGCTGCAAGTCTCTCTGTTGTATGTATGAGGTCTCCATATAGAATTTCAAATGAAGATTTTCAGAGCTGAAAGTATTTGTGGGCAAGTGGACTAAATGGGTCCCAGCATTTCTTTCAGTTCTCATTTTCTGTGAGCCTATGACTGCTACAAAATATAACGACATAAATAATTACATGCAAGCTCATGTGACGTAGAATTCTGTATCAGTTGTTCACCTAGTACTAACTTCCTTATTGACTGGAGAATGGCATTGCTTCTGAACATCATAGCTCTCTTCAGGTAGGTACCTTATGGACTTGGATCAGCATATATATGTGGAATTTAATATGATTGGTTATCCTGGAAAATATAGAAAAAGTTAAAAAAAAAAAAGAAAGAAAAAGAAAAATTGCTAACAAATCCTTTACCTAAAGAGAAAGAGAATCACTCTTATACGTCTGGTTTATTTTCCTTCTAGGCTGTGTTCTTATACATCATGATATTTTAACATAGTTTTGAAATACACACACACACACACACACACACACACACACACACACACACACACAGAGTTTATCCCTGGATTTCTGTTTAGCCCTCGAATGTAGATATTTTTCTGAGTGCCACCAGGGAAGAGGCAGCATCTATTGTCCAGCAGTACATATCCAACATGTCGCACAATGCCTGCACAATGATAGGTGCTCAGCGAATATTCACTAATGAAATTACGTGTTAAATAAATATCACACAAATGTAAAAAAGTATGTTTCTGCCTGTTCTCTACTATTAAAAGCTTCTATTGCTTATCTTCTAAAGCTGACTGTAGGCATGTGTGACCCAGCAGCTCCACTCCTGTGAATATCCAGCAGAAATGCGTTTATTCACTGAAAGACATGCTAGAGAATGTTACAGGAGCAATACTAACAATAGGAAGAATGAGAAACTACCCAAATGCCTATCAACATATGTTGAGGTAAATTACATGGATTCACACAAGGAAGGCAAAGCAGCAATGGTGATGAGAAATCCACAACCATACACAAGCCAGATACAAAAGAGGCATGCTGCCTGATTCCATTTACATAAAGTACAGAAGAAACCAAGTCAGGATAGGGAGCATGAGAAGACTATTAGATGCTGCTGTTGGATTTCTTGATCTGGATGCTGGTTTACTTGGTTGTGTCCATTTTTCAAAAACTCATCAAGTGTTAAAATGTGGCTATTCTTTGACCCAGCAATTTAGGTATTCAGACTTTATATGCAAGCAGCTATAAAATGGACCTTCCAATTATTAATTCACTAAAGAACATGTGTTGTGTATATACTAGGCACCATAAAGAAATACTTAAGAATGTACAAAAAATTAGTGAATAATGGTGTTTATTGCAGTTATAATAAGTTACAAACATGGAGAAAGATGAAAACCAACTCAACTCTCCCACAGTAGGAGCATATGTGCAGTAGTCCTGCCTTCCTGCTCCTTGCCCCTTTTCGTTTCTGCTCCCTGCCCCTTTGTGTTTCTGCTCCCCTACCCATTCCCAGGCAACCACTGATCTGCTTCCTGTCACTATAGATTACTTTATATTTTCTAGAATTTTATATAATGGAATCATACAGTATGTTTGTTCTCTTTTTTTGTTTGCGTACTTTAACTCAACATAATTCTGATTAACTCAGCTTCCTCTATGTTATAGCATGTACTAATGCTGTAACATTCCTTTTTATTGCCAAATTAATCCCTTTTTATTGCCAAGTAGTATTCCATTGTTTGGATATACCACAATTTGTTTATCCCCCTCTTAATGGACATTTGGATTGTTTCCTACTTGGGGCTTCTGTGAATAATCTAGATGTCTTTCATTTCGGTTGGGGATGTTTTCATTTCTCTTGGGTAAATACCTAGGAGTGAAATGGCTGGATCCTATGATAGATGTATGCTTAATTTTAAGCTATTATCCAAATGTTTTCTAGAGTTTCATTCCCATCAGCAGTATATGAGGTCCCCGTTTGCCACATCCTTGCCTATAGTTAGCATATGGAGTCTTTGTAGTTGTATCTAATATAATAGATATTTAGCAGTATAGTTTAAAACATCTCCCCTCCCTTCCCCTTCCCTCCCCTTCCTTTCTCCCCCTCCCTCCCTCTCCTCCCCCTCCCCCCCAATCTGTTGCCCAGGCTAGAGTTCAGTGGCCTAATCTCAGCTCACTGCAACCTCTGCCTCCTGGGTTCAAGAGATTCTCCTGCTTCAGCCTCCCAAGTAGCTGGGATTACAGGTTCCTGCCACCATGCCCAGCTAATTATTTGTGTATTTTTAGTAGAGATGGGGTTTCACCATATTGGCCAGGCTGCTCTCGAACTCCTGAACTCAAGTGATCCACCCACCTTGGCCTCCCAAAGTGCTGGGATTACAGGCCTAAAACATACATCTTTCTTAATAACTAGTTTTGCAGAACATTTTTTCATGTGCTTATTTACCATTGGCTTATCTATCTGTGAAATGTTCAAATCTTTTCTCAGTTTTTAATTAGATGATTCATTTACTTATAAAGTTAGGTGAGTTTTAAAATATATTTTGGATTCAAATGCTGTGTTAGGTGTAGAATTTATCACTGTCTTCTCCAAATCTATAACTTATAATTTCATTCACAGTTTCATATGGATTTGAGAATCAGTCAACTTCAACCTAACTGCCTGATGAGAATTTAACTTGATTGTGTTGAATCTATAGGTCAGTTTGGGGAGAATTAATAACAATATTGAGTCTTCCAACCCATGTATATGGTATGTCTCTCCAATTATTTAGGTTGCTTTTTATTTCTCCTATTATTGTTGTTTTGTAGTTTTCAGAGTACAGGTCTTTCACATCTTTTGTCAGATTTATCCCTAAGTATGTTATATTTTACAAATGGTGTCATTTTCATAATTTTAATTTTCAGTTGTTTGTCTCTATCACATAGAAAGACAGTTGATTTTCATATACTGATATATCCTGCAATCTTTCTGGACTCACTAGATCTAGTAGACTCCATCGTTTTTAAAAATAGCTTTACTGAGGTATAATTCACATACCAAAAATTCACCCTTTTAAAGTATACAACTCAGTGTTTTTTCACTGTATTCACAGTGTCATGCAACCATCACCACTATCCAGTTTTAGAGTTTTCACTACCCTTGAAACAAACTGCTACTCAGCAGCAGTCACTCCCTGCTCCTCTCCTCCCACAGCCCCTGGCAATCACCGATCTGTTTTCTGTCCTCTAGTTTTGCCTTATCGGAATAAATGGAATTATTCTGGCTTCTTCTACACAGCATAATGTGAAGGTTTAACCACACTGTAGCATGAATAAGCACTTCATTCCTCTTTATGACTGAATAATATTTTCCATTATGTGGATATATATCACATCTTGTTTATCAGCCGATGGATATTTATTTAGGTAGTTCCCACTTATTAACAATGATCGTTAACACTGCTATGAACACTGTGTGGTGATTCCATCATTTTTAAAACTCTGTTTGTTATAACAAAAATATTATTATTGTAAAAAGGGAAAATAGTGAAACAAAGCTTAGAGAAGAATGATTAAAGAGTCCACCTGGCCGGGCGCGGTGGCTTAAGCCTGTAATCCCAGCACTTTGAGAGGCCGAGGCAGGTGGATCACGAGGTCAAGAGATCGAGACCATCCTGGTCAACATGGTGAAACCCCGTCTCTACTAAAAATACAAAAAGTTAGCTGGGCATGGTGGTGCGTGCCTGTAATCCCAGCTACTCAGGAGGCTGGGGCAGGAGAATTGCCTGAACCCGGGAGGCGGAGGTTGCGGTGAGCCGAGATCGTGCCATTGCACTCCAGCCTGGGTAACAAGAGCGAAACTCCGTCTCAAAAAAAATAAATAAATAAATAAATAAATAAAAAATAAAATAAAAGAGTCCACCAAGAATGGTTAAAGAGTCAGGATTTGATAGGGTAAAGGAAAGGCAGGGAGCAGGACAGAGGTAAGCACAAGGTTTAAAGCCTTAGTGGTACTAGAAATTGGGAAACGGTGGGGGTATTCATTAATTCATTTCCATATGACAATGATATATGATGTGACTTGAAGTGAAAATGTTTCACTAGATAACCATAATGTAAGTGGAAGACTAAAGCTGAAAATATAGGCTTAGAAATTAGTATAGTGGTGCTGTTAAAGCCAAGCGAACTGATTTTCTGCTAAGCACAAACAGGAATTTAAGCAAGATATGCCCTCCAATCTAATTCATAGGGTACAGTCCTGCTGTGTTTAAGGGCGTGTTTTCAACAATTCATTGCATTTGTGTGCATATTGTGATAGACTTTAATGTGACTACAAACTATGGATTTTAAAAGACATAAATGCCTTACCCTATATTCACATGATCATATCCTTAAAGATACAGTGGGAGTAGGGGAAAAAAACTGTAAAAGCTCCTATTAAGTCTTATCTGACCAAATGCCAACAAGCAATACATCTTGGGGGTATTTGTAAAGTCAGAGCTTTCATCAAAGACAGATAAAACATCTAAAGCTAGAGTCACCTGGATTTGCATAAACTATTTAAGGATTCTGTTTAGGAATAGTGAAATATTATAGAACTTAGAAACTTTCATTTTGTGAGATGTCTAAGGGAAGATAATTTTAGAGGTTATTTTTATTTCCTTGGGGAGACAAGAAGGAGATTAGCAAGCTCTGTAGTGCTACACACTCATTAAATACCAGCTCACATCTCCATCGGTAAAAGCTAAGTTCTCCAAGTAGTGGAATATTCTCTTTGAACAAAGGTATCAGACAAACCATTTGTCTAAAGCTCACAGTTGCACAAGTGTACAGTCCCTCAGGACAGGGGCAGCAAAGTACTAACTGAAGGTCATTCACCACATGCTCAGAGGAGAAAGTATGATCATGTCCAGATTAGTCTATTAACTGCTTCCACATCCACAAATGCTCATTGTTGAGAGTGGATTCAGCTTTTGAAACAAAGATTTAAGCACCATACAGGGAAAAATGGACTGGTTTGGCTATAGAAAATTTAAAACTTTTAAGATCCTGTTCACACAGGAAAAGACAAAACTACCTGTGTCTATATCTGTGTAGATGCACATACAAGACGAGGGCTGGGAAGGGGGAGTTGAAGAGGGCATGCTTTCTCTGGTCAGAGTTCTAAGACTAGACAAGAACATATTTACCTACTGAGGGTATGCCCTGCCCACCATCTGTGCATGAGTCTGGGCCTCCACCGTGGCCTGAGTTATCTGGGCTGGCCAGCTGGTGCCTGTTAAGAACTTAATTGTGTCCCTAAAAATGTTGTGTTGGAGTCTTCATCCCCAGAACCTCAGAATGTGACCT